CTCTGCAGTGCTGTGTCCAGTTCTGGGCTCCCCAGTATGAGAGAGAGATGGATGTACTGGAACAAGTCCAGCCAAGGGCCATGAAGACAATGAAGGGCTTGGAACACCTGACATACAAGTAGAAGCTGAGAGAGCTGGGACTCTTCAGCCTGGAGAAGAGAAGGCTCAGGGTGATTGCATCAATGCCTACAAACACCTGGGAGGGAGGGAGTACAGAAGATAGAGCCAGGATGTCCTCAGTGGTATCCAGTAACAGGACTAGAGGCAATGGGCATGAACTAGAAATACAAGAAATACTGCTTAAATACAAGGAACAACTTTTTCACTTTGAGAGTAACTGAACACCGGAACAGGATTTGGCCAGGATAGAAGCATATCGTACCAATGCAAGAATTCACCACTTCAGATCCCTCCTGGATCACAGTCCAATATTTTTAGCTTAAAGCAATGGGGAAAGTGTTTTGTGCTGCGTTTGGCAGGAGTGATACAGGCCTGCACTTCTACAGCTTCCTAGCTGCATGCACTAAGGTCTGATGGGGAAAGCTGGGGACAGCAAACCTGTAATGCACTCCAGCAAGCATTATCAAAGGACTGTTGGAGCAGAAGTATGTTTGCAATTCCCACCCCCAATTTGCAAAATAAGCTTTAAAAATATGATTGTATTAGTTTACAGTAGGTGGGAGCCAAGGTATTTTTACAGTCTTTAAACATTAGCTAGGGAAGGGGATGGAAGCCTGGTCTGCATGTGGAGTGTTTCAGCCAGCAAAACCACCCCATATTACTTGCTTTGCCGTATATAATAAAGCTGGTTATATAAAAGGGCAGAGCTTTTCTAGCATGTACATTTCTTGGACATCCATAAAATCTATAGAGTGTCTTATGTTGGGACATCTAGGCTTAAAACCCTGCTCCTAATTTGGAAAAGATGGACTTCGAATCTGGGTCCTTCTCAGCCCTCATACATAGCCTCCACCCAGGTGCAGACACATGCACCCATCTGAACCTCTGCTAAATTCTTGTACTAGGTCTGGCTGGGATGAGTTAACTGTCTTCGTAGCAGCTCCTGTGGTGCTGTGTTCTGGATTTGTGGCTAAAACTATTGGTGACACACATGTTTTGGCTGTTGCTGAACAGTGCTTGCACAGCATCAAGGCTTTCTCTTTGTTTCCCACTTGGCCCCCTCAACAAACAGGCTAGGGGTGGGAAAGACACTGGGAGAGGACACAGTTGGGACAGCTGACCTGAATTGCCCAAAGCAATATTCCGTACCATACAACATCATGCTCAATCAGCTCAATCATCAGCGATAAAGACTGAGGTAAAGGAAGAAGAAGGAAGGGTTTTGGCTTCCAAGGTGGCCATTGTTCGGAGACCAGCTGGGCATCTGTCTGCCTGTGGGGAGTGGTGTGTGATTGCCTTTGTTTTTCTTAGGGTTCCCCTGCCTCTTTTCTTCACCTATTAACCTGTCTTTATCTCCACCCACAAATTTTCTCATTTTTGTTCTTCCTGTTTTCTCCCCCATCCCACTGGGGGTGAGGAGGCTGATCAAGCAGCTGGGTGGGTGCTTGGCTGCTGGCCAGGTTCAACCCACCACCCTTCCCCATCCTGAACATGTTCTTATTTGCTGTCTGCCAAGTCTGAGACGTCTTCCTGGACCTCAGAGTCACAGCCAGTAGCAGAGAATAACTGCAGAGCAATTATTGGAGAAAGCTGCATCTCTTCCCTTTGCTGCGATACCATCCTGCATGGCGTGCTGCAGTCAAGGATGCACCAGAGAGGAGAAACGCTCCATACAGCCTGTCTTCCCCTTGCAGTTCATATAATCCACCACAGGGAGACAGCTTCAATACGTCTCTGAAAAAGAAACAGGCCGAAAATGTCAGACTGAGGAGTTTGAATGGAAACTATCACACACCACTGTGCAGAGATTTGGCTGCTATGGACTTGCCCTTTTCTGAAGCGATGAGTTTGGTTGCTGCAGCCAGAAGCCCATAAGCAGCTTTTACCTCTGGCCAGTTCATGGGCCTGGGAACGACCTTGGACTGGGTTGTGAGGGGGCCTGTTAGCAAGAGGGTTGCTGCCCTTACTGCAGAAGGGAACTGTGGAATGAAGGATGCAATATGCTGTAGAGAGAGAGAAGGGTCCTACAGTTAAGGTAGGTCTACACCATGTTGGAGAACTGGATTTTTTTCTTGCTTGTGCTATAGCTTTCCTGGCCGAGGCTGGGAATTTCACTTGGACTGTGCTTTGCATTGGTGCCCCTGAATGTCTGAGCTCCATTTAGTGGGAACTTGATCTGAGATCCAGACTGGGAAAGTACCTGGACCTGAAATCAGTAAGTGCCTTAAAAGTACACAGTGCTTAACTGACCTCACACCAGACCCTTGAGGTTAGCTCCCACTTCTGAGCTTGACTGCTCTGCTCCATGGCCCCATGTGTGAAACAGGGCTGATAATACCCCACTTCTCACAGGGGTGTTGCAAAGAACCTTGAAGAACAGCAGAGGGTACCCTAGAGGAAATTGCAAATTCAGGCTCTTTAAAGCAGATAAATAAATAAACTGGGGGAACACACACACAGGAGGTCTGAAAATGCTTTAGCAGTGAGTGGTGGTGATTCCTGAACTGCTGTTGGGTACGTGCACTGAATGAGACAAGGTCCATGAACTTGCAGCTGAAATCTGTAGCATTATGCATGAGCACAAAGGCACCAAATGAAGATTGAAGATGTAATTTTAGTTTTGGCACTTTCTAGTTCTGCATGCGTGACTGCACTCAAGGAAATGTCTGTTAGAGCAGTTTATTGTATGCAAATGACTTTAAAATTTGCAGTCATATCCAGGCTTTCCTTCCCCTATGGAAGGAATTGCGACTAAAATCTCCGACACTTACCTGCCATTACGGCACCAGTGAGATTCTCTGTCCAGCCACTCAGCTGCTCATCCTCTCCAAATGTGGGAATTTATATCCCCTGGGCACCTCCCTTTCCACCAGCTGGCATAAGCAAGCCCTGACCGGGAGCAGGAGCCTCCCAGCACCAAGTGTGCCCCAGCAGGACACGATCTCCACGCAGCATGGGTCCTTGGTGACTGCCGCCAACAGCCCTGTGACAGGGACATCAACCACAAGTCTCTCCATGCTCCATGGGTGCCTAAAGGTGATTGAGAGTCTACAGGATATGTTTTAATTGACTAACGGTAGAACAGAGCAGTCCCAAAGTGCCCAGTAACCCACTTACATGTGGGATTTTGCACCTGCAAATCGGACTTTGAGCGTGAGCCCTGTAAGTGCTCTAATCACAGGCAGCACTGGGCACCCTGTCTGCTGTGGTGAGATTTGGGAGGTTTCACACCGGGCTAGGATGAGCGGTTTCCTATAAGCAGTTTTCTGAAGGCCTTGGTTCCTTGGGTGCTTTCATGGCTTTGCATGAGGTGCCCAGATGCCTGACAGTGTGGTGCAGCTTGGTGCCATGGGGTAGTAGCACCCTGCAGCCTGAGGCACAGCGATGCCACCACCCTGCCACCACTGCTGAGGGTCGGCTTTCCACCATACTGCTGTCAGACCTCATCCAGTGTCCCGAGTTCTTTAAACCTCACATGTAAACCAAGCTTTCAGGACCTCAGAGCAGACTTGCAGCTGTTTCCTCCGTACAGGTACTCCCACTGAGAACAGTCTGCCAGCAGCGAAAGCACCAGTTACTTACAGATATAACAGCCAAAAAGAGCTGTCACAGGGAGGGGAAGAGAGAAGGCAAGAGTCTTTGGCTGGGGTAGAACTGTGAGCACTCTGTGAGCCAAAAAAAGTACGCTCAACACTGAAACACTAGACAGACAGAGAGATGGAAAGGAAAGAAAGGAAGGAAAGGAGAAGAGAGGAGAGAGACATGGAACTACTACCATTACCTTGAATGAGCACTGAATGCAATTCATACTTACTGAAGAACTCCAGTTTGCATTCACTCATTTCACAAAAAGTATGTGACTGAAAGCTTACAGGAAGCAGGCTTTACAGGAGTGATGCAGAACAGAGTAGCTACTTCTGTGGGGCAAGAGCTGTGCTGAGGTTTTCACTGTGTTTTAATCTGAGAATTATCTTGCTCTGCAGAAGAAAAGAAAGTTTAAGTGCTCACAGAGGACCAACCTTTCACTTCTGCCTCCTAGAAGGTTATGGTAGGCCACATGGGAGTTTTCTTTTCCCCATTCTGCTGCACTTAAGCTGATGTTCAGCAGAGAACACTGAGCAATGGTGGCTCTCCTTTTTTAAAGGAGTTTAAATGCTGGAATCAAGTCAGCAGTAAGGCAAAGTAAGGCTGGAGTGCGGCCAGAGAAGGGCAACCAAGTTGGCAAGGAGCCCAGAGCACAAGTCTTATGAGTAGCAGATGAGGGAACTGGGGCTGTTTAGTCTGGAGAAAAGGAGGCTGGGGGGAGACCTTATCGCTCTCTACAACTACCTGAAAGGGGGTTGTAGTGAGGTGGCTGGAGATAGGACAAGAGGAAATGGCCTCAAGTTGTGGCAGAGGAGGTTTAGATTGGATATTAGGAAAAGTTTCTTTACTGACAGGGTTGTCAGGTATTGGAAGAGGCTGCCCAGGGAAGTGGTTGAGTCACCATCCCTGGAGGTATTCAAAAAGCATGTAGACAAGGCACTTCAGAACATGGTTTAGTGGGCATGGTTGGTGGTTGGACTTGATGATCTTAAAGGTCTTTTCCAACCTAAATGATTCTATTCTTTCTACACATTCCCTTTGAATACCTCTCCTAACCCCCACTCCATCTGAAGCCTTCAGTTAGCTTCTGTAATACAGACAAGCCTTTGGGAACTAGTCTTTCCTGGAAAATGAAGTCAATGCACCAAGTCAGCTGTTAACTTTGCAAAGGTGCTGTCTCAGATAAGGGCTCCAGTGAACTATTTCACAGCTACTTAACTACTATGTTTTATAGAACTGTTTTAAGGCATTTGGGGCATTCTTAGCTCTTAGTAACTGGGTTAGCTAGTATAAGGAAGCAAGATTAATTTTTATTAGCTTGAAGTATCATATTTTATTCAAGTGATAAGAAATATCATAATACATTATGCATCTGCCAGTTATAGTCCATTTTAGTTGGTTCCAAAACCTAAGCAATAAATGAGTAAGACAGTTTATCTAGTTAAACTGAAAAAAACAGCATTCCATACAACCAGTACTGGAGATGTCAACCGTATAGTAATTCCAGCATTACCTTGTTATGGCTTTCCAGAAAGTCATGAAGTTAACAAATTAGAACACATCAAGAGCCATTTTCCAAAGATTTATTGAAGTAGCGACAGGTTGCTCATACTGTGCTGGAAAAAGCAGTTTTATTGAATTCAGATACTTAAAAACAGTATTGCAGCACAAGATATTGCTATTTGTAAACTAGACTCCATTGTAAACTCTAATCCTTCAGGGAGAGTCAGTTTGCAAGATCTAAGACCTATTTCCTAGCATAATAATCTTGCGCTCATGGAAAAACTGCAGAAAGGCACTTGAAAGCTGTTTCTTCCTTTAAGACATGGACTTTTTAAATCATGCTGGTAAGAATTTCTCCTGCATTAATAAGTATGCATCTTCACTTCAGCTTTACTCCAAGTCATCATGATGCTGGGAAGTTTCATTAATAACCTGTTGAAAAACAGAGACACTTGTATTAAGTTTTAGGAGTAAGATTGTTGGGGTTTTTAGAGTTAGAATTGGAATATCCAGTACCACAGAAACATGAACAAATGGGTATCAACTCTCACTTGTTAATGAGAAGTTCTGGTTGGTAAATAGTGTGCAAAAACCATTTAAGCTTTACTGGCTTAGTCTAAAAACAGTATCTTGTCCCAAACAAGTACCTCTGTTTACTGCCACATGTTTTCCTCAGGTGATATGAGGAATCTTTTGAGAACTTGCTTACTCAGCTGAACTTAAATATGCACTACACAGGTAACTGTCAGCCACTTAAGGACTATCAGATGAATTTTGTGATCATTTCCACAGAAGCCTGTTTGCTACATCTGTATGTTCAGCCATGCAGCCTGGACTGCCAGATGCTGTTCTACTCCATACTTACTACCATATACAGGCTGCACTGACCAGTAGATAAACTTAAGAGTATTTTAAGGTAAGCAGCTGTGATAGAAATAAATCAAAAGTTACCACCAACCTGTCCGTCTCTAGTTTCGACAGTCTTAATAAGAAGTGTCCTCTTTGAGTGAGTGTCAACCATCGGCTGAGACTCAATGTTGGTTTCTGCAGAAGAAAATGTATTATTATCAATAGTCTAGATGAAGTGCCTCCTCAAAGAAATGTCATGTAACTGATTTTAGTGTCTACTTTCAGAATCCTAGTTTAGTGTATGAAGACCCCATTTAGTGTATGAAGAAGTCTCCTGCTCTGAATAAGCTTATCTTCTCTATTTTCTCCCTGTTCCCCTGAAGGCACCTTCAGCAGGCTTCTAAACCGATCACTCACTATGTACAGATATTTAAAAAATATCTGTGCCCAGAAACAAAGTAGCTCCTCCCATCCAAGGTTAAGTAATTGCAAATAGTCTTAGTTATCTATAGAAAAATGTTCACATGCAACTGCATTTATACAAGTTCAAATACTGGAGAAAAAGGAACTATCCAGGACCCTTTTGCTAGTGATAGAACAGCCATCTAAACTGAAGTAGCAGAAACAGCTTACCTCTCAGGTTCAAGGAAGCAAAGGTTGGAATAGGCATGTTAATCCTGAAGGAAAAAAAGAAATGAAGTCAGACATGGGTATAGAGTGTCTTCTAGTAGCTGCTGTGTAGAAAAGTGCCTGCACATGATTTTTACCTGCTCTCTTCACCCTCCAGCAGTTTTCTGTAGGTGGCAATCTCAATATCAAGAGCCATCTTTACATTCAGCAGGTCCTGGTACTCACGGAGATGGCGAGCCATTTCTTCCTTCATGTTCTGAATCTCATCCTGCAGGCGGCCAATAGTGTCTTGGTAGTTAGCAGCTTCAACAGCAAAATTCTCCTCCATTTCACGCATTTGGCGCTCCAGGGATTCATTCTGGAAGAGAATAATGAAGTTGTGCACTGCTGCAATTCAGCCACTCTTCCCCACCCTCAAATTTTTAACAAAGGGAAGTTTAGTTACATTAGCATCCTTTCTGAAAATGCCCAGACACATCCCAAATTTGTCATCTCTTTATCTTCCCCTTGCAAACTCAAGGTGGGTTATTCTGCTACTTTGTCTGAGGTGTGCCATGTATTTGTTCTAGCAGGTGGCAAAGCAATCCCTTACAGTAAGTCTTAACACATGCAATACAAGTGAGCATGCAGGCAGACCTCAGTGAGGGGATTTGCAGGTGTACTATACACTGTTAAATCCATTTCAAGCCAGCCTTTAAGGCAGTCTGTTCTGGCAGCAGCAAGATTTGCACCTCCTTTCCACTGCTCCTCCAGCTTTTTTTATAGCTTCAGCTGTACCTGACAGACAAGCCATAAACACTTCCAGAAAGTGTTACATAAACAGTGAATATTATAGCAAGAGAACAAACTCGGTGTTTATACCTTCAGGAAGACTAGTTCAGTACATCAATCTAACCAGTGCACTGTAGTCCATGCAGGCAAACTGAGCCCATAGCATCCTTTTCAAAAAGTACTAATATGCTGCTGTGTTGCATGGGAGATCAGCTGCATTCACATCTATTATCAACAATTAAACTGCAGTGCAGTGCTTAAAGCTGCAAAGGTAAGAATGTCCCAACAACTGCTGTCTTATACTTACGCTTCCCTTAAGGGCATCAACTTCACAGGTGAGAGACTGAATCTGTCTGCGGTATTCATTAGCTTCTTGTTTGGCCTGGCGCAGGGCATCATTGTTCCTATTAGCAGCTTCAGAGAGATCTGCAAACTGTGGAAATCCCCAGTTTGGTTAGCCTAACACTTCAACAGAAATGGTGTAACAGACTTTTTTTGGACACAGCATTTGAGGGCAACTGAAGCCTTTACAAGCCTTAATACCTAAACCACTTAAATATTAGCATTACTCTTAAAATGCCTTTCTATTTTAATTGTTAAATTGGATTCATAGTTAAACCTTTCATATTTGTTTTCCCACCCCGTATGTTTCCCATCTTTTCATCATTTTTTCACCAATTCATTCACTCCTTTCTCCAGTATTTCATCCAACATCTGCTTCCAGGTACAAGCACAGGAAAGTCTCCAAGTATGAACCCATTACTTTGATGCTGTACTCATGGCACAAAACAATGTTTTCAGCTGTACTCTTCCCAGACTAGGAGTTTAAAGAAGACCCTGTGCCATGGCTGTGTTCATGTCCAGTAGAGAGACAGAGGGAACACCATGTGCTACAGCAAAGCTGTTATGTACAGTTAGTTCGAGTGCCTGATGCATCTGAACAGATTTGACTTACTTTGGACTTGTACCACTCTTCAGCTTCCTGAAGATTCTTAGCAGCAACGCTTTCATACTGTTGGCGAACATCACGCAGGGCAGCAGTAAGATCAGGCTTAGAAACATCCATATCAATTTGGATGTGCTGTTCCTGGAGTTGGGCCTGCAGTTCTCGGATTTCCTTAGAGAGAAGCAGACACTCAGTGTTATTACACGACAACATACAGAACGTACATAGGCGAGGACTCTGGGCCAGAACCAGTGAAGAGCTTCCTTACTCGCTAGACCACCAGCATCTAATCACAGACCCAATTATTCAGCTTACCTCATCATGAAGCTTCTTCAAGAAGACAATCTCCTCTTGCAGGGACTCAACTTTGCGCTCAAGATCAAGACGTGCCAGAGAGGCATTGTCAACGTCCTGACCAGAGAGAAGAATGATTAGCAGTCTTACAAAACTGATGTAGAAAAGTCTTTTAAGGCAAGTTCAGTAGCATACAGACTGATCCTACATCTGAGCTTTTTGGCAAGACAATATGAAATAAAGAGCTGTGAAAAACACCTTTTTGCCACCTCCTACCCTAGCCTCAGACACTACTATATGCACCTTTGTCATTTTGGAAACTATACAGCATATGTAGATTACTTCATCTTTGCCAATGTATTGCTAAGCATGATCAAGAGCGCACAGATCATGGTGGGTGTAAATCCTGCTTGAAGATGAAGCAGGTACTTGGGTCAGAAGCCAGCAATAAGCAATTTTAGCTTGACTACACTGAAAAAGAGTTAGTCTTGCAATTTGCAAACTTCTTTTTTTCCAGTGGGGCTTAAAAGTGCAACCCATGTGCCTACAAGCCTATCAGTGGGCTTAGTTTCTTGTTTATTTCTTATGGACTCCTTGGTGATCAACCACAGAGCCCTTTGGGTCCACAGACCACAGCTTGAAAGCATACTTGTAAAGCTAGTGAGGTACATACAGGAACTGCAAGCATTTGAACCACTTGGAGAAGTAACAGATCTCCCTCAAGAAAAAGAAGGTATAAGCATAAACGCAAATCGAGTTAATCATCATTGGCTACACCCTCACAGCAGCTGGCAAAGACTACACCTTTTGCTGGACGGAGATAGTCTTAATCAACAGCAAAAATTCATTTAAGGCATAACAGAAGATATACCATGAATGTTACATGGGAGCAGCTTGAATTAGTTCAAAAACATAACTTAAGACTAAACATTGATTGGTAACTTCTTACATTTTAAATGTGCAAGGCAATCCGTTTGCAAAGGGAATGATTGTTCCTTTCATACTAGTTACATATGTGCTGCATGCTTATGTTCACACAGTATTAACATATCAGGTTTTCACAGCTTATGCTAAAGCTATTTTGGATTGCCCAAAGCATAAGCATTCCTAATCAGCAGTTCTCACTATTATGGCACCTTTGAAATAAGGAGTGTTTTCTTTAGACTCCTAGAAAGCCACTCCTTGCATCACTCCTACTCTGGGGTAAGGTTCTTGCTCCAGAATTCTTCTTCTGTTTTCTTTATCCAGCAGAACATCCCTTCTATGTGTTATTCCATAACTTCCCTATCAATTCCAGTCTTACACCCACACAGGTCACATCAGCCCTGTTTTTCATTTCAGAGAAAGAATTCCTTAACTCATTTGTCGTCCTTCCCACCTCCCCCCCCCAAAAAATATTGAAGATCATTCTGGAAGGAAATTACATGGCTATGACACAACATGTTTATACAATTAGACAGATATCCAAAGAGTTTCTAATGGATTTTACTGAAATCTGCATCCTGAAGACTAATTTTTTCAGGACAACTGAACAGCTACAGGATTTTTAGGAGCTTATAATAAACTGAAAGCATCTTAAATTGAAATCACTTGAATATATAGTATGTATTTTACTATATACGTTATCATTAAGTTGGGAGTGAAGAATCAGTGTACCTGTATTTCCTAGGTGTATGGAGAACCACATAAATAAGCTACTTGTAGCCTGAGCAAGCAAAGTGTAAGGCATGCATACATGCAACTGGACTACACATTGATTTTATCTTAGGAGATTCTTTAATGCTAGTCACATAGTTTGCAGGATTGAGCATCCATGTTTACTTCACATAAACCCCATGTTAGCCAGGAGCAGCCCTGTTAGTCTTGTCATAGGTTCAGGGACCTATTCCTTGCTGCCACAGCAGCTGGCAAAGCTGCAGTAAATAACTTTCTCACTAATTGTGATGCTTGTTTTGTCCCAGAGGAAAGAACTCTCTGAACCCCTAGGTTTATTTTATGTAGTACACCCCTCAGCATATGAGTAAAATCTCATCTTTGTTCAGAAGAATAATTAAATTAAAACTCAGTACATAAAAGTTGAACAGTCTCTAAAGCAGGCAGCTTTTGGAAATACAAAGTTTAAGTTCAATTATTTGTTCACTTTCTTTAAAATACTGAAGTATACAACTGCTCCGTCAAGTAAAAAGTAAATTTGATGCTACATCAGAACAGTAATTATCTGCTGAAATGTTCCAAATCCATGTATACAACTTTCCGGTGCAAGAATACAATGGTTTAATATAAAGCTGTGCATTTCTTTACAATGGGAAGCACAACAGGATGTTTCAACTTCAGTGTTCTGTGAATGTAATTTCACTTGCAGGAGAACAATACTTATACTGAAACAGATTTAGTTTTCACAACCTGCATGTTAAGCCCACCCTTTCACAGTAAGGAAAATTTAGATATTACTGTTGTTCAAATCAAACACACTAGCATGCACCAGTTATGTCGCGAGTGGGTTTAGCGTAGTGTTTCCACAGACAATGATTTGCAATTCCTATCCATAAGCTACACCTCAGGAGATTAAATGGATCCAGTTGTGACTGTACCGCAGACACAGATCTGCTGGAGGCTGAGCTCCTGAACAGCCCCTTTCCACAGTGGAGGGAAAAGCGGGATAATGAATGTGGGATATGCACAAAGCCAAGTTCACTTAAAAGCCTAGAACCTTCAAAAAGTTTAATTGGTTTGAAATAGAGGTAGACGTGCCTTGAAGTGCACCAATTAAGTATGAAAGATCATTTTAAAAGCCAGCCTTAAGTCAAAGGATCCTTCAACTGAATTCAGCAATGAATCAGAATAGATTAGGTTCTCTAAAACTTAAGTTAAATGCTTCTGCATGGAACTTCACACTATGTTAAATTAGCTTAGCACTCAGAAAAAACAGAAGCTGAAGTTAAGGCAGTATCTCAAACTGTTCTGTTTCAAACTTCTGTCCCCAGAACACCAGCGGAGACTTTGGGAGTAGGTATCTTGGTTTCCACATGTTATCTCACACCTGCTCTCCTTCAGAGACTATAAATATACTGTAATCAAAAGCCTTGCCCCAGGAAACACTGACAATCAAGTGATGACTTCCTGAATGGTGACATCTGCTAATGCCTATGAAGAGCTTTGGGATGAAATCAGCCTGTGCCCGGCTGCGTAGAGATAAGGGCAGTAACTTCCAGCCAGGAGGAATGCTAGCAATGCTGTTTCACACCAGCAGTTTTAGGGAAGAGACCTTGTTTTGAGAAGGCACATTCCTAAATACCTTCTAGTCCAAACAAGGCTTAATCCAAGTTGAAAAAGTTGAAAGCTGGTTTTGCACAAGTGAAAACCTGAGCTTAACACTTTTTGAACACTGTTTGCACAGTTGGTTCTGGCTGTCATGTATGTTTTAGTTTATCTGGATAACATCGTAGCATCCTACAGAGACTAAACTCGAACACAACTTGTTTCCTATGTTAACGTCTTTGTTTACAGAGGATTAAATTCTATGTTCTTAAGGGACATCCAGAGGAGGCAGACTTGACTGCTGTGACCTCACCCCAAGGAATAAATTGTCTACTTCTTGTCAGCAGACAACACCCATTTGAAAAATTTTAGATTTGGAACTGCTGTCCAGTAACGCACCGACCGAAGTGATTCATTAAAAAGGAGCTCTGTTTTGTGTAAAAACTGGACCATACGCACCATAGACACTTTTGGCCAGAAATATGCCTGCACCATTACACATTTAGTAAGAATGCAGCCCACTGCGCCCTCCCCTCCGACACAAAGGGATCTATTATTTCAATCTGCTGCCACCACACTTGCCATAAAGCCTGTATCTGCATTCCACGGTGAATCCCATAGAAACCATTAATACCCTTCAGCCAAGCGAGCAGATGGCCCCCTTTCACTTTTATTGGATCGGAAAGCGATTCCACGTCGGAGCGCTTTTTGTAAACCAGGCTAGACTTGGATAAAGCAAGACAATAGTCCCCGTCCCCCCCCCCCCTTCAGACCGCAGCATCCCCCTAAAGAAAACAAGAAGGGTTTGCGTGAGAACCGATGGAATTCCTTTGTGCGAGGAAAGCAAACTCCCAGAGCCCCATCCTCCCGTCCCCGGCACCACCGCCCACCTCCGGCTCTCCTCTCCTACAGCTCCCTCCCTCCGGCCCCCGCAAACCTGTCTGAAGGACTGCAGGGTGTTCTCGGCCTCTTCCCGCTGCAGCATCTCCTCTTGCAACCTGGAAGGGGCGAGACAGCGCTGAGGAGGGAGCTGGGGGTCCCGTCCCAGTCCCCGTCCCCGTCCCCCCCCAGCCCAGCTCGGGGTGCCGAGGGGCTGCCTCCGCGCCGGCAGCCCGATCGAGCCCGCCCTCCCCCCGCACACTCACTTCTCCCTCAGCCGCATGATGTCGTCGGCGAGGTTGTCCCGCTCCACTTCCACGCGTGCCTTGTCGTTGGTGAGCTGGTCCACCTGCCGGCGCAGCTCCCGCATCTCCTCCTCGTAGAGGTCGCCCAGGCGGGACGTGCCCTTGCCCTTGAGCTGCTCCAGCTCGGCCAGCAGGATCTTGTTCTGCTGCTCCAGGAAGCGCACCTTGTCGATGTAGTTGGCGAAGCGGTCGTTGAGCTCCTGCAGCTCCACCTTCTCGTTGGTGCGGTTCGCCTTGAACTCCGTGTTGATGGCGTCGGCCAGGGAGAAGTCCACGGAGTCGTGGAGCCGCATGGGCGGCATGCTGCTCCGCAGCCGCACCGACGTCGCCTTGGTGGCGTACATGCCGCCGGGCGAGGCGGACACGTACCGGGCGGTGCTGGGCCGCAGGGAGCTGCCCAGCGAGTAGCGGCTGCTGGAGGTGATGTAGCGGGTGCCGGTGCTGGGGCGGCTGCCCCCGCCGAACATGCGGCGGTACGAGGAGTTCTTAGTGCTGATGCTCATGGCGGCGGCGCGGGCTTTGTAATCCGGGAGGGGAGCGGAGCGGGGCGGCTCGAGTGCGCGGCGGGCGAAGAAGAGCGGCGGCCTCGCCCCGGGCCCCTTCTTATGAGGGGACACCGCCCGCCGC